CAATCGTTAGTTCTGAACTTAAATGTACACACACACACACACACACTGACATGTATATGTTTGTCAAAGTTATGCACGTAATTGGATGCCCTTTTGCTAAGGAAACCACATAAATATTGCTCTCAATGCAGGTTCTTATCAAGTTGGGACTTGTCAGTACAATTGATGCTGGAATTATTCCTAGAAATAATCAATATTCATGTGATCTAGGAACAATTGAAGATGGCAAAAGGAGAAGGAGATAAAGGGTTGTTGTCATAAATGGGAGAGAGGTGAAGTTAAAGTATTGTAAGATTTGTAACATTTATGCTCACCAAGAAGTTGTCCTTGTGCAACCAATGTTTTGAAAATCGGACTGGACCGGCCGGTTCAATGCCATAGTTGACTTTGTCAAAAAATCGGTCAAGAACCGGTCGAACCGTAAAAACCGCTATTGAACCGGTTTTCAACCTTCCTTCTTTTTTTTTTTTTGTGCAAAATGCAACTATCAAGATTCGAACTCAAGACCTTTGTAATAGAAGATCAATGTATTAACCGTTGTACCATCACATCTTATTAATTTTTTTGATAACTTATTTATATAAAGCAAACGCTCATATTTCTTTTTTCCATTTTTCTTACAAAATCTCATCCGTTCATGGCTCTTTTTTTTATATTTCTTTTTTCCATATTTCTTACAAAATACCCCACTAAAATGCACCCTATCAATGAAGATTTAGTTTAAAGGAGATAATGAAGGAAATTAAACCAATCTATTTTTTTATTTAGTTTTCTAATTCTTTTAGTTTCTTGTCTTTGCGTCCTATTTGTTTAGTTTCCATATTTGTTTAGGAAATCTCAAGTCAATTTCCAAATAAGTTTCGACTTACAATTGTATTTGTTTCAAAAGTTTAACCGTCTGTAAATATTAATAGGCTAGTAAATTGTTATTTGAAAAGTTGAGTTAAGTCAAGTTGTGAGATTTTGAGTTCATAAAATTTTTGAGAATTTGATTGTTTATTTATTCTCCTCCTCTTTGCATATATTTTTATATGTATCAAAATTGTTTCCATTATACTCATGTGTTTTTTGACAATAGTTATAGTTCATGTGTCGGGATTTCTCTTGATGTAGGGTGACAGGTTTTAAGCTCCCTACCTACATTTTTATAGGATTTTCCTTCAGAAAAATCCAATAGGTGCAATGGTCACTTGTTAAGGGTTCTTCTACTCTAGTTCTCCACAATCCAATTGGTCCTCCTCCGCATAATGTAGGAATAGGTTGGTACTGTTGCCGATCGACCAAAAGAATGTACTATTTGTACATTTGCTATTGTGTTGAGAATGGGTTAATATTGACTGTATATATATCAGAGGATCTAAATATATGTAATATTATTTCAATTTGAATTTCAACTCTAAATTTTGTACATATAACATGCATCAAAATTCTCTCTAATGTACAATACTATCAATATATGAAAGATGGAAAATTCTATATCAAAAGACATACATTTTAAGCAATAGAAACAGACTAAAGGATGACCCATTTCTTTGATTAAAAGATTCCCATATTTGTATCTATCACTTAAGAATATGGTGATTTAGAATTGCATTTTATACGTGGACTCATGAAAGATTTATCCTCATGAAAATCAGTTGGGATCCTCGGTGACATGAATCCAATGTCAATCCAGTGCCATCTATAGTATTGCACCACTATTATTTGCATTTTAATTTTTTAATAATTCAACTTGGTTTGATTTAACACAAATTTTCTCTATCCTCTAAAACTTTGAACCAAATTAACCAATCGGTCTAATTCCATTACCAATACTTTCATCATTGATTACCTTCAACATCTCCCATCCACTCTGATAACATCCACATCTTCAGAGTCGTCATCCTTTATTTCCACCACCGGCTCCGCCATTCCACGCGGCATCATCTTCACTGCCGATTGCTTCACCGTCAAAGGCACCAAGGACGTCCTTAACAAGCCCTTCTCTTTCGAGCTCTCCACTGGCAGGGATACCATGTACTTCATGGCTGAGTTTGTAGAAGGAGAAAGAAGATTGGATCAACTCCATCGGATGCTCAATTGTGCAGCGTTCCAGGTCCGTTACTGATTCTGAGGTCATTGATTACGATAGCAAAAGGGCTTAATTTCTGCCTTTCCAATGTAATTTTGGTGTTGCCCTTCTACTTGTAGCCTGGTCCTAGTATTTACCAAACGTTCTTCCTCACGACAACGCCGTCTACAGAGCTCTCCTTTGCTGCAACTCTGCCCTCTGTAACTTTTCCTATTGCTGATTTCCTCCCCAGGTTCTTGTAATTTCTTTTTTGCCATTTTCCCCACTCTTTTATGTGCCCATTTTCTTGCAGATGACCCTTTCGGCGATCCAAAGGTGATTGGTGACACCTATTGCACGATTTTTGTGGGCCGTCTTTCCCACTCCACCACTGAAGAAACTCTTCGCCAGGTTCTTTTTTTTATTTAAGTTTCATTTTCTTGATTTTCACTTTGTTTTGTTGTTTTCTGGTTATGGCATTTTATTTCAAAAGATTACTTTTTTGAGCTTATCTGTTGAATTGGGGATATGGGTCTTGTCTATTTCTTCAGGCTATGAGCATATATGGAAGAGTAAAGAACTTAGATTAGTCAGACACATTGGTTAGTTACTAATTTATCCACTTATTTATGCTGTTCAGTTTTTTTTAATCAACTTTAATTTCAATTGTATTTTCAGTTTTGAGTATTATTGTGTTATATTTTACTTGTCTGTTTATGATTTGTAAAGGAAGTTATAGTTTTTCTACAATTAAATGTGAAGCACCCTAGCAACCATCAATCGTTACAAGTATATGATGATATATGGCTTTTCTCGGCCTGGAATTTTGTCTTTCTTTTCTTCAGTTGCTTGGAAGAAAGTAAGATGAAATGCTCCATTATTATAGCTTTGTCATGCAGCAAATCTTTTTGCTCACAGTTTGTTGCTTGTAGAAAGAACGAAAGAAATAGAAGTGTACTTGGTTTTGAAATTGTAACACGCCAGGGAAATGTTAAGTAGGTACTTGGTTTTGTAATGCAGTCTAGTATCAGTTGTATAGGGAGAACAAATGCAAAGGAGAAATATAGGGAACCTATTCTTTTTTTTATCAATTGTAACACCCTTTCTGTTGCAACGTATAGAATGATCCTAGTTAAATCCATGACTAGAATTAGTTGAATGGTGATGTTAAGTTTGTGATGTCTTTGTTTAATCTATTTGTAATTAACCTTAATGTCTTTGGTTTACTTTTCATAATTCAGAGGTGGTTGTTGCATGAATTTCAAAGTTTTCCTTGACGTATTCTAAACATTGTGGAATCCTTTGTTTTTCACCCTTTCATTTTTCTTCTGTGGTCTTTGCCTTGCTGGAAGGAACTTGACTTTTGGTGATCTCACTGTAGGTAAAACAAATGGTAGTCGCAACACTTGCTGGAATAGTTTAGAAAATATAACATCAAAATTTTGATATTTTGCGATGCAGAAAAATTGTTATTATCTATAGTTGTTTCTATAGGGAATTGGTTCATGATGCTCTCTGTTAACGATTGCAGTAACTCATGCCTTTTGTTCTTGATAAGACAAGCATTTACCTTTTATGCATCCGCTTCCAGGAAATTCTTAGAAGTTATTTGGAACACTTTCTTGGAGCAAGAAGCTAATATATTAATCCATTTTCTGATTTCAGACCTTTGAGGAAGCTGATACCAAGCATGATGGAAAGATTGACAAAGAAGAGTGGCGTAGCCTTGTTCCAAGACATCCTTCTCTTTTGAAGAATATGACTCTTCAATATCTTAAGTGAGTTGTGTTTGTATTATCTTTTGTTCTTTAAATCATTTTAGGCCCCGTCGATTTTTATTTTGGACAGCTTTCAAGATCTATGAAGCAGGAACATGATATGTGAATAATAGATGACTTCTTGCCCTTAATTGATGATAGCTTTGATGACCTATCTACAATTTCTAAGATTTTTTATTTGTTCTTTCACATGAATTATATTCAGTTCTTGCATAGATCTTTGAGACAACTTAATAGTTTGTGAACTGTGTACCTTCACCATTATGCAAATAGACCTGTTGATTCTGGAGTTTGGGAAAAAGTCAGAAAGTTGGTTTGCCAACATTTTTAAATGTTGTATGCTGTATGGTCTTCATTTTCTAGACATATGTTTCTTTTTTAATGCAATTAACTTGCTACTAGACAAGTAATGTATTAATCTAAGGAATGAGTTCCCTCACAGGAGATGCTGCACTAATTTTCCACGAGGAAAGATCTAAAGCACCATGAAGCAAATGTTGGAGACCTCTTATTATGTCTTGCAAAACCTATTTCTCTAACTCTCTGATAAAAAATCAATCCAAGCACAAAAGATCAGTTTCCAAATCTAGATAGCAAAACTGCCTCAAAGTAATATGAAACAGAGGAAACGATAGAGAAGTGTCAGTCTTCCTTCTGCTCCTTCTCCTTTGATTTACTCTTTCTGGACTTTATGAAGCAGAAACATGAGCAGCAGGGAAATTGCAACAAGAACTTTGTCCTGTTGGTTCTTTGTCAGAGCATAGCATCTAAGTCAATTATGTTTTATGACACAAGATATGTAAGAGTAGACTGCATTTTCTCGGCGTGAAGTTTTTATCCCTTTGTTTACTGTATGCACTCCATATTCGCTATTTGCATGCAAAATGAACAATGTCAGCTTTTGTTTCAGTTAAATTGAAGTTCATGCTAAATAATTAATGTTTTACAAGGATTATTATGCTTGTGTTGTGTCCATTATCAGAATTGAAAATATAAACTTATGTCAAGAGGGGCGATAGTCGATGATACTATGGTTTCCAAGCCTCTTCACATTCCACAATATCCAAATGTCTTATTGAATTTTGGAATGGTAACAAAGTGTTCAAATGAAAGATCTAAAAACTCAGTACTAGTGTCAATTGAAACATATATTCTACATAGAAGAATGTGCATTAATTTTGGGAAGCACGAAAAGTTCCATTGTCAATTTCTGTCAAATTTTCAGGTCTTTTGTCCACTTGAACACTTGCACAAAATATCATTGATGCATGGAACTGGACAACCACACCTATCATTGCAATCAACTCCAACTTGTTGTCCCATAGTGCAAGAGTTGTCATTCAACTCGAACTGATTTATTTTCGCTCCTTCGAAACCATGTAATTCTTGTGCCTATGGTTAGAATTATATCACCAAAAAATTGAACAAATAAATAAATGGATGAATAAAAAAAGACAATAAACAATCTTTTCTTAAAAAAGTAATTATTCATGATCACAACTGTAATAATTTACCTTGAGCAAGCCAGTCATGTTCATGGAACTGAAAGTGCATAGCTGGCCATAATTTTGTTGATTAACATCCAAATTCACAAACTATCAACCACAAAAGTGAAAAATATTCATGAACTTTAGTATAAACCAAAACATAAAATTTTTATAAAATAATTTTATGCAAATAAGAAACTAAAAAATTACCGGTGTAGGATGATATGGTTGCACAAAGTTGCTTTGTTGAGATTGCAAAGACTCTATCATACTTACTGGCATAGAATAACATGGTTGGATAAAAGTTTCTTGTTGATACCGTAAAGATTCTACCATGCTCCCCTCATTTGTTTTTGCCTAAAAATAAAAATAAATAAACACATTTATAAATAGTTTGACAGTAAATAATACTTAATTGTTAGTCTACATATAATGTCGAATCATTACCTCTTGTAATCCATGCTGTTGCATACTGCACCTCGTAGATACAATATTTATAGTATCTCCTATAGGCTAATGAAAAGAAAAAACAAAGATTGGATGCATAATATAAGAAAATATTGAATTACAAATATAGTAAAATTATAATGTAATAAAACCTCATTATGTGATGACGCTGGTAACTCCATAGTTATACTATTTTGCAAACTTTTTTTGGTTGATCTTCTTCTCTTAGTAGCCTTTTCTAGACTACTCTTCAATCTCTTGCCTGAAATAGTCTTCATCTTTTTTTTAATACCCTTGATATTGATACCACTTGCATTAGTAGTGTTATTTGTGGGGTTGGAAACTTTTGCTGCATTTGACATCTCATTGCTCGACCCCTCTTGATGTAACCTTGCATCAACCAAATCCAATATTTTCAAAAGGCCTTCTTTAGCAATTTTATAAGTTTCTTCTGCTTGAGCAGCTTTTGTGACCAATTGAGTATATAGTCTACACAAATCTCTGTAACGCTTCGTAAAAGTCACTTTCGGATCCAAATCATTATTGATATTGCAACAATTGTTGTCTTTAACATATCCAACTTTTGCTTTATTGGTCCATCTCTTTATTATGTATTGACTAGGGATCTTCATGATATTTCTTATATTAAGAACTTTCAGAGAATGAGAGCATAAAATCCCAGAGAATTCAAACTTCTTGCAACTACATGAAATCTGATCACCTATTGAATCAAATCTAACCATATGATAGTTTTTATTGCCTTTAGGAGTGATCTTATATTCTGTCATTGTTCCAACCTCACTGTAGGTGATTATACCACAATCATAAGATTTACCCCACTCAATTTCAAACCATTTGAATACTTCAGGAGTATAAACACTTGTAGCTTGTTTCAAAACATCAACATCGAATGGTAGTACTGGAGTACTCATATATACTCTAAAGTCAGCTTTAAGTTCTTTATATCTCCGATCATCAACTAACCTCTCAAAATGATTGAAAAACTCATGAAATTTATTCTTGTAGGTTACATACCTTTTTATCACACTATTCATGCTTTCGCTCCTTTGACCTGTTGTCATATTTGCACAAAATGTTTCCCTTCCATACACCAATGCCCATTTTTCTTTAATCTCAAACATACGTTTTAACCAATCATTGTCTTCAAGACCATACTTCTTCAACATAGTATTCCATTCAGATATAAAGTCTTCTTCTTCATCAAAATCATATACACATTTACTGAAATCATTCACAAATTGTTTAAAACTTTCGAACACCTGACTGAGATGAATAGCTGCATTTTGAAATATATGCCATATGCAAAGACGGTGACGTGTTTTAGGCCATGTAGAAATTAGTCCTTTAGCCATTGCTGCGTCCTGATCCGTAAGTATAGTATTTGGTTTTTTTCCTGACATTGCTCTCGCAAAAGTGTCAAACAACCACTCAAATGTTGAAGCAGTTTCATCATATAATAAAGCAGCCCCAAATATTGCAGTCTGTTTATGATTATTCACTCCAACAAATAATGCAAATGGACGGCCTCATTATTCTTTCTATACGTCGTGTCAAAACAAACAACATCTCCAAAACTTGCATAATCTGCCCTCATTATTCCGTCAGTCCAAAAAATATTTGTAATCAAAGCATCCTGATCCACTTGAATTGCATAAAAGAAATTAGGATCCTCTAATTGCATTTTTTGCAAATATTCAAGTACACCTCCTGTATCTCCAACTTCCATTTGTATTGTTCGTTTAGAACGTAAATAATTCCTGTAATCCTCAGGAATGAAACCTAAGTTCTCCCGTCCTCCTACTTGTAGTGCCATAAGTTCATGAGAAACTTTTGGTGCTATACCCACACGGTATGCCATATCAATTTCAGCTGCATGAATAGAATTTATCCTTCTATGTGATCTGTGTAAATGACTTTTGTTGGGACTTGAAAGATAGTGATTATGCTCAATGATCAACTGACATATACGAAACTTACCAGTTTGTCTACTGTTAACCTTCATCTTTGCCGAACAATTAAATCGTGTTTCAGGACGAGGGGCTCTTACATTGAGATCTCTTTTATCCTTTCCTCATTTTCCTTCAGCACTACAACAAAATACCCTATCCATGAGCTTACCATTACTATCTTTGTGGAAGCTACTTCTTTTGATTCCAAAACCAACTTCCTTTGCATATGCTAAGTAAAAATTATAAGCATCTTCTTCACTCTCAAATTCCATGCCCATCTTCGGAATTAGTTCAAAAGGAATCAATGTATGAATTTTATTTATATCCTTTATCACATTTAAAACTGGTGCAGTGGAAATATTGCTTATGAGTTGTTAAAATACTTTCGAGTTGTTGTCTATTTCCTAACTTTCTTAATATTAAAAAAATTGAAATTCGAAATCAAGATCATGGAGCAAATAGTGATATTGATTTAATAAATCAAAGCTGAAAAAACTCAAGAGTTAAACCGGATGCAAGGTTGGATAATTACCTGAATGATGTGAAACGTTTTGGTTTGTTCTTTGCTGGAGAAAGCTAGGGAAGGTTGGGCTTTAATTTGAGTACTTCCTGAATCTTTGTAGTCAATTTGCTTCAATAGTCGGCGGCTGCAGTTTTAGCTTATTCGGCTACGGTTGATTGTTCTAAGCCATCAACGATAAAAAGGCTTGGACTTTGGAGGCAATTGTTTAGGGTTATCTTTTTCTTTTTCCCAAAGCAACGATCTTGAGTGGTTGCTGTACAAAAGTATTGGTAATGGAATTAGACCGGTTGGTTAATTTGGTTCAAAGTTTTAGAGGATAGAGAAAATTTGTGTTAAACCAAACCAAGTTGAATTATTAAAAAATTAAAGTGTAAATAATAATAGGCTAAGTGGAGCAATTCTATAGGTGGCACTGGATTGGCATTGGATTCATGTCACCGAGGATCTCAAGTGCATGAAAATACCTATTCTTGGTACAAATATCTAGTTTGCACTTTGAGGAAATTTCTACGTAGGCATGTAAACACAGAAGGTGATTTAAATTAATAAAATTATGATGTAAACCTTGTATGTTGTCTATCCAGACATCTTGTGAGCATTTTCACAAAAATATGTGAGGTCTTTTTTTGAAGGTTGTGAGGTCTGGAAACGCCTGACAAAGGAATCCTAAACAACACTAAGGAGGTTCTACTTGCTTCACAACCACCCTCTAGAGTCGACTTTGGAGCAGATACAGAGCCAGGGTTGTTTGGTGGATTAAGTGATATCAACATCAAATGATTTTATTGCATATTTAATACATTTGGTAGATGATTTATTTGTTTCCTCCAATTCAGTAGTCCCATTTTAAATTAGGTACCATGTTTTGGTAGCTAAATTTTTGTCTTAGGTGCGTTCGATAAAACTAAAATCTGAAAACTGACTTCTAAAATCTGAAACCTGAATTCCGTTGAGTTACTGAATTGTTAAGTACTAATTTGATACATTTCAGTATATATTATATTAAGTGATAAGTGAATAGCTTATCACTAATTTTTGAAGCAAAGTATGTTTAGGAAATTCAGTGCCAATTAATTCATTCAAATGTTTTATTTTTTGTTATCAAATGCATCTAAATATGTTAAACCTAAACCCATTATTTTTTTTTGTCAAAATATATGAACTCATTAAGTTTAAGTATTAAATTGGATTATAAAACAAAGCCTTAGATTGATTACAAACTACAGAGCGATAGCTAGATTATCAACCTTTTTAATTAGTGACTACATAATCGTACTTCCTCAATGTTTCAAACATTTTGCTGTATTTAGCGCTTGCTAAACTTTGCTTAGGTAAGTTTGCCAAGTTTGGTTACTTTAACTTCGCTATCTGCATTCCACGGTTAAGAGGAAAATGCATCAGTATTTACTATGTTAAATTAAGATGAAAATGTCTAGAATCTTCAACCTCTGTATTTGTGTTTATTTTTTAAACTATAAATTGGTAGTTTGCCTCTAACATACTCAGCACTGATAGCCCAAAGGCGTTTGGAATTGGTTTTTTGAATTCTGTCGAGTTTGAATCATTTTACAAGTATTGGAGTAGTTCTTTGCCATCTAAATTTTTTGAAACTACCGGAATAAATTCATTATTTGCAGAATTTTTTGTTTATTGTTTGTTAGATCACTTGCAAAGTTGTTTGGCAAGTTTTGTGAATTTCAATGCAATAAGAGTCGTGAAAATCTTTAAGAGAATGTACTATCTTCTCTGGTTCACCTAAACTTTTTTTTAAAAAAATATTTTTGGATCCTATAAAGTCACTTTTAGCCACGGTGCCGTGTAATATATTTCGCTTGTAGACCTACAATAAAAGTTTACGGGGGTGAGGTAGAGATAATATGAGTAAATTTTTGGGATAATTTCACAGACCTCCCCTGAGGTTTATGACAATTTCACTCGGCTCCCCTTAGATTTTACAATTTACACTAACCTTTTTTGTCACAATAAAATGACTATAATGACTTTCACTTAATAAATAATTTATAGTATAATGAAATGAGATTAAAAAAAAAGAAAAAGAAACCTGACTTTTTCGGCTATTCTGTTTATAAGTTACAACCAACGACGATTCTCTCTCACTTACTGTCATCCCATTCTCATCCATCAACTTCTTCCTCCTATAAATCGCTCTCAAATTACCACAAACCATTGCTTATAATTGCAGCCAATCACACCACAATTGATCCCTTAAACCCTACTATATATTCCTATTCCCCCTTTTTTCTCTTTGGAATTGCCAAATCAAAAGTTTAGTTAAGGAATTAGATTTGATGGTTGAAGTACAATTCAATTTTATAGTCAAACTAAAAGGAGATGAAGAGGCACATAATACTAATGGAACAAAGAATGCAATCGTTGGCCAAAAGTGGAAGAGGGATGGAAATTGGTAAATTTGCTAATTTGTCTATCATCCATCCAACAAACTTTTTAAGATGTTAATAAGTACATTTATATTTCTTTTTATGCTTGACAATTGTTAGTTGTGGTTTCGTTATGGAAATAGAGTTTTTTCTCTGTATTTAATATGTTAATATGTTTGGAGATTTGTTGGTAGGTTAGATTATTTTGTTTTGAGAAGGTGTGAGCATTGGGTTTAAAGTTTAGGGTGTGATTAGTTGTAAATAGAATTTTTGTTTTTGGCATAATGAATTTCTTGAAAATCTCTATAGTCATAATGATGCCTTCCTTCATTAAACTTGATTAATCCCATCCATGCCTAAATCTCCCTGTAAGGATTTCTTCAAAGCCATAATGTGGGTCATGTTGTAGCAGTTGAGCCACTTATATAGAACCAAACCATGACATCCTATATTGAAAATTATGCAAACATAAGGGTAGTTGATTGTGAGTTTAACCATTTTATGGAGCCATATGGTGAGAATATTTCTCAAGGATGGAACGAATCTTGAAAATTGAATGCATGGTTTGGGAAAAGCAATTTTATGACTATGATGACGGAATTGCTTGGGTTTATAATTTGGAATTAGACTATTTGTTAGGCTAGTTTGTTAGTATAATGGGTTTGGTTGAAATATGGAAGAAAGCAATTGGCAAAATAATTTTTGTTTTATTTTTGTACAAAAAGGGTAGTTTAGAATTTTTGAAAAAAAAAATATAGCCTTTTGGGTCTATATTATTATATAAATAGTAAAAGCAAGGGAGATAGGTGCAATTTAATAAACTTGAGGGGAGCTCTCTAAAATTGTCAGAAACCTCCCCTGAGGTTTTTGAAAGTATCCCTAAATTATCAAACTCCTATATGAGTTGGGGTGGCCCTAAAAATTAGGATAACTTTTTTATACAATATTAGTATATAATTTTTTTTTACACTCGTAAATTTAGATTATGCCACATAACATGAATTTTAATTTAAAATTCAAATTATGCAAATGTGGAATACATCAAAAGTTACCAGTATAAAAAAAATCAATATACTACCAAGGCATAAAAAATTAAAACTAAAAATTATGCTAAAATCTCTTCAAAAGTGTTGCAATTATACCTCTTTCTCTACATTTTTCTTGAATGTTACCTTGGAGGCCTTTTACACAAGGTTGGCAACGAGGCAAGTACCCGCCTCGTGAGAAAAGTAACAGGGCATCCTGTGGCCCACTAAAATTAATTAATATACGCAAATAATATACATACACACATACATATATATACATATATATATATATATTTGAATTAATTATGACTCATATTAGTTTCTAATTTTGTTTAAAACTTAAACACCCACTGCCCACTAAAGAAAAATAAGTATTTTTTGGGAAAAAAAAAAAAAGCTCTTGCCATTTTGCCTACTTCCTCTTTCTTTTGTTTCGGCCTCTCGTTTCCAGGCCATTGGGCCCAATACCTACTCACAATCTATAACCTATAGCGTTTTGAAATCTTTTTTCCAGCCAAAAGTTTCATCCAAGTTTTTTTTTCCATTGGTTTTTTTTTTTTTTTGGTAACCATCATCCAAGTTGGTCATTATTTACAAATTCGAGTCCTTTTTTTAATCAAGATGGTACAAGTCAGAAAGAACGGATTGAATGGCGACTGAAGAGAAAGAAGACAGCATGAATTTGTCATTCCGTCAAGATTTAGATAATTCTACTTCGTTAGAAATTGACCAATCCACAGAAAGTTTGCCATCCCAAAAGAATTCTGAAGTTCGAGTTAGTTTTATGGGAGAAAGTAAGAAACTTCTCACTTCTTTTTGGGGCAAAATAACCGGATTTGAAAGGGTTCTTCACGAAAAATGCATCCAATTTTTCCAGAGAAAGAAAATTGAATGAACAAGAGTTTAACGTTTTTGTCCTGGAACTAATGTAATTCACCATTTGATCTCACTTTACACTCAAAGATCATTGAAATAGTTTTTGGAAAATTATTGTAAAACAAAGAAAGAAATTGAGGGTTTGACGGTTGTCATTTTATTCCAAATGCAGGTATTCTTGTTCAGAGGGAGACTAATATGTGTTCCGGGTCCAAAAGGGCTGATTCTAACTGTCAGTTCCATTGGTTTAATTCTCCTTTAGCATTTCTGGTTCAAAATAGTTCTTGTCTTTCTCCTTGGCATTTTCTAAATAATGCGAACATTTGCCCACTGAAAGGAAATGCGCATGCTAAACAACTATTGAGATCACGGCATCCAAGCTTTCAAGGAAACTTTCACGTTAACCAATGAAATTAAAATTGAGAGCAGGTGCAAGGTCTCTTTCAATCAGA